AAATATATTGACAAAAAACTAAATATATGTATAATTAATATATAGGCTCGACTTTTGATTTTATTAATAGTTATGGATTTCTATTTTAGTAAAGATAAAATACCTCAACTTGTGTATTTCCGCTGCTTTGGACTGATTTAACAAAAAGGGTATAATCGTTTTATCATTTAATTTTTTTTTAAAAAAAAATACAATATACAGTTCTAAGCAAAAAATATCTAAAAAAATTGCTTTATTTTGAATTATCCAAAAAAATTTACAAATTTTAAAAATAACTCATTGACAAAATATTTATTTTATAACTAAAAATTTTAAAAGTGGATTTTAAGTAAATTTGCTACAATTTTTAATAATAAATCAATGAAAATTTAATACCAATTTAATAACTATTTTTAAAGGAGTTTATTAGGCGTGGTTTTTAATAAATAAATATAGGAGATAATTTGCCGGAAAAATAATTTAAATAAGGATAATATTTTTATCCTATGGATTTTGGTAATTTGCTTTAAACTTTTGCCAACATACTATTTAAATTAAATAACCTACCCTTTAAAAAAATCTAAAAGGTTTATAACTCTAACTTAGCAGTACTATAACAATCAATAAAATATACTCATAAAAGTTATAAATATTATTATCTAAAACTATTTTTTTTATTTTAATTAGGTTATAATTCTAAATAATTTTTTTTAGATTAATGAAATTTTGTTTAGATTTATCTTACAAATATAAAAAAAATATTAATAATATTTACTACAATTATTCGAATAAATTATACATTTAATTTAATATGAACTAATGAAGATTCAATACAATCTATTATCTAAAAAAATTTATTATTTTTTGGCTAAAATCAATAAATTATGATATTGAAAAATTTATTCATGATGTTTTAAGCGCTATATATGCAAAAAAAGCATTTTAAAACTATTATAAATTATTATATATACTGAAATCATTTAGAGTGTGAAAGAAATTCAGAAAAATATAATTTCTTTGTTAATAAATTAACTATTCAATTTTATTTTACTTATTTATAAGTTATAAATTACCCGCTTAATTGGAACTTAAAAAATTAGTCAAAGGAACAAACTATTCCCCCCAAAAAAAAAACTAAATCGCAAATATAATTTAAACGCCAGTATATCACAGGGGGTTAAGCGGGTTAAGCATATTATCTAATTAATTATGAGATTATTTTTTGTTGTATAATGGATATTTTGACTTTATGAGCTTTTATAGAGCTCTAAAATTATTCAAAAGTAAGATTCAATTTTGATGCCTTTACAATAAATCACTTTTTAATTCATATATAGTAATAATATCTTAGCACTAATAAAAAATAAAAGCAAAGAATCTATAACAAACGATCTAGTAATCAATAATTGCCAACTAAACGCATCACATATCATAAGCCACAGCCTCTTAAAATGTAAATGGTCGTTTAAGTGGGCTCATCCAAGAAATCCATTTAAGATAAAACATCATGAATAAGCTTTGTTGTTAATAACTAATTAGCAATTTATAATTTTTTTACAAATTTTATTAAATTAAATCTAAATAAATTTATTCAAAATCCAACTATTTTTTGATAGATAACAGTGTAATAATTATATACAACGTTAAAACCAAAAAAATATACTTAAAAAAATAAGCATTTCTGTTATTAATAAAGTCACTAAGACATATATAAAATATTATTATTTATAAAGTCTTGCTGTGTGTAAAATTGTATAATATTCTAGCAAATTAATATCATCAATTTAATTTTTTTTAACTAATAGAATTAAATACGCTTTTTTTAAAAAGATGTATTATTCTGTTTTCATTTAGGACAGAATTTTTTTTTTTAATTAACAATAAAATAACTATCAACTATGTTTAAACCTTTTATTATAAAACTTTAGTTGGAGTACTATCAATACTCTACAGATAGAGCTCAAAATATCTGGCTAGATTTGATACTACAAAAATCTAGCAAAACTTACTATTTAATTAAAATTTTAACATTGGTGTCATATAAAGCGTAACATAAATTGAAAAGGTTGTTTATGTGTTAATTTTTTGGATTTATAGCTAGTTATTCTATGTATGATTTTTTCTTATCAAAGATTTTTTTAGATACATAAGATAAATGACTGTAAGAAAAACATACTTTTTTTAAATAGTAAAAATTATATTGTATTATTAAATGTTACTAAATAAACATAATAAATAAAACTATGATTTAAACCAAATTAAACAAAGGAACCATAGCACTTCATTAAATTACAATTAGCACACAAATAAACATTTTAATAAAAAAATATTTTTTAACTTTGTCACAAATAGAGATGAAAATCCCTAACCTTTAAAAAAAATGGCAATAGCTCAATTAAATAAATAATAGATATACTTACGGGGCTTACTTTGAAAATGGTTTTATCGGAAGTATATGTAGTTCAGAATAAAGAATATGTGATGATTTATTTTATTCTTTTTACTAAAATGTATGGT